GTGTGGGAGGACTGCGCGGGGTGTACAGAGAAACAAGAACCCCACTTAGGATGTGGGGAGCATGCACGTCTTTTCATGGGAATCTGATGATCTGGGCTTCTTGGGTCCCTTTTGGGATTGCTCTGGGAGTCCTCCTGGGCCGTATTGGGCAGCTCGGGGCCTTCTTGCGCCGTCTTTGGGGCCTCTTGGCACCCCTTCGGCTCTTCTTGGCACCCTCTTGGCCTCTCCGAGTAGCCGCCTCTGGGGAGCGACACGGGGGGGGGGTACCAGCGGGCTTCCGCCGATGGTTGCCGGGGGGTCGGCCGGCCCAGGCCAAGGGGGGGGGCCCTATTTACGCATACAATGTACATGTTCCTATAAATGGATACATGTGTGAAAAAAGTGAAAGAAAGCGAGAGAGAGAGAAAGAGAGAGAGAGAGAGAGAGCGTTTCACAGGCGCTTGCCTCGGGAACGTTCGGCGGCGCCGCGTTTCAATCCAAGGGTGGTGGGCCCCCACTCGGCGCCGCCGATCCGAACCAGGAGGACTCCCCTCCCCCCCCACCCCTCTCCCAAGGGAGAAGGGGGGTCCCAACCCTCCGCCCCCCGTTCCCTCGGCGCCGGCGCCGGCGCCCGCGCTGGCGGCCGCCAGCAGCGCTGACGGCGGGGACGCAGCGACGATGACCACAGAGGGCCCAGGGGGAAGGGGGGGGGAATTCCAACCCCACCTCCCCTCCCCCCGCGCGCGGGCGCCGGCACCGGCGCTGGCGCCGACGGCGGGGACGCAGCGACGATTACCAGAGAGAACCCAGAGGCCGCAGAGGGAACATGCAGATCGCCATATCGAGTCCTCGCCCCCCAGAAGCCACCGAGAGGCCATGAGGAAGGCCCACGAGGCTTCACACATGCTCCTCAGACGCCCCCGAGACCCTTCTGACGAGACCTCAAGAGGCATCATCCATTAAAACTCTGACCCAAAGCCAAAACACGGTGGCGGGAAGAGCCGAAGGCCACACCACCACCACCCCCGCCCCCCCCCACAGAGCACCACACCACCACTACCACCGCCGCCATCACCACCACCACAACCACCACAACACACCACCACCACAACCACAACCATCGCCACAAACCGCAACACCACCACCACCACCACCAAAAACGCCACCAGCACCAACACCACCACAACCCACCACAACCCACCACGACCACCACCACCACCAAAAATCACCACACCATTACCACCACCACCACCGCCACCACCAGCACCACCGCCACCACCACCACCACAACTTGCCACCACCACCACCACTACGACCACCACCACCACCACCACCACCCACCACCCACCACCCACCACCACCACTAGCGCCGCTACCAGCAGCACCACCACCACCGCCAACACCACAGCCCACCACCACCACCACAAACCACCACGCCCCCAACACCACAACACCACCACCACCACCACCACAACCACCTTAATTTCTCATTATTACCATTAACCCACCACACAACCACCACCACCACCACCACAGCCACCACCACCACAACAACTACCACCACAACTCATCACCACCACCACCAACCCACCACCACTACCACCACCACCACAATCTACCACAGCACCACCAGCACCACCGCCACAACAACCACCACTACAAGCAGTACAACCCACCACCACCAATACAAACCACCACACCACCACCACCAACACAAACCACACCACAACCACCAGCACCACCTCCACAAACCACCGCCACCACCATCACCGCCACAAATCACCACCACCACAAATCACCACACCACAACCACCACCACCACTACCACCGCCCCCGCCACCACCACCACCACAAACCACCACCACTACCACAAACCGCCGCCACACCACCACCAAACCACAACCACCACCAACCACCACCACAACCACCACCACCACAACAAACCACCACACGACCACCACCACAACTACCACCACCGCCTCCGCCACCACCACAACCCACCACCACCATCACCACCACCACCACCACCACTACAAACCACCACACCACCACCACCAACCACCACCAACACAAGCACAACCACTACAACAAACCACCACCACCACAACCACCATAACCACCACAACCCGCCACCACCACAAACCACCATCACTACCACAAACCACCACCACACCACCACCAAACCACCAAACAACCACCACCACCCACCACCACAACCACCACCACCACAACAAATCACCGCACCACCACCACAACTACCACCACCGCCCCTACCACCACCACAACCCACCACCACCACCACCACAAACAACCACACCACCACCACCACCAACCACCACCACAACCACCACCACTACAACAAACCACCACCACCACAACCACCACCACCGCCACCACACCACCTCAACCCACCACCACCACCACAACCAACACCACCACCACAACCACTACACCACCACCACCACAACTACCACCACCACCACCACAAACCACCGCACCACCACCACCGCCACCACCACCACAACCTGCCACCACAACCACCACAACAACCACCACCACCACTACCAACCAGACCACCACCACCACCACCACCACCACCACCACCACCATAGCCGACCACCACCACTCCAGAGAGGCCCCACTAGACGTCCAAGAGGCGCCCAAGAGGTGCCCTTCAAAGGCCCGCGAGAGCACTCCGACGAGACCCCAAGAGGCATCCATTAGGACTCGAACCCCCCCCTCCGTCACGGGAGAGGGGGGGAGGGGGGTTCGGTTCCACCCCCCCTCTGGGCGACCACAGAACGCGCTCTTTCATGAATATATATATATATATATGAATTTATGTATATATTTATTGGATAGATAGCACGAGACACATTGCAATCCGTAGCTTCCTCCACGTAGGATGCACCACATAAAGTGCATCACGTGTATTGCAATGACTTGAACCCCACTGCATGCACCACATGTATTGCGCTGCGTAGACTGTGCATACGGGAGACAAGAATTCACTGCGTGGGGACTACGCTGGCCTGCATAAACAGACATTTGAAAGAGCGGCCTTCTGCGCACGCTTCACCTGTCCAAAACCCAAACATCCTTCGCTCTGGAACCGCCACCCCCCCTCTCGCACCCACCCCCCGTCTCCAGAATCGGGACGCCCGATCCTGGCGAGGCGAGCCCCCCTCAAACATCCCACCCCGCTCCCCAAAGTCCTTAAACGTCAAGGAGGGAGGGTTCGAACCCCCCCCGGCGCCAGCGGCAGCCGACGACGACGGCGAAGACCACGATCGGCGGCACGCCTGGGTGGGAAGTGAGGAGGGCGAGCCTTTTCAGAAGGCTCGGAAGTCCCCCCGGCCTTCTGCGAAGTCTCCCAAGCAAAGGTCGGGCGTGTCCCCCAACAGGGGAAATTTGGGCGAGACATTTTCAAAACACAGAAAATACTCCCCAAATGCTCAAACATCGTGAACAAATACTCCCCAGACTATTGTTGTACTATTTTTGAATATCCATCCTGTAGAGGGACAGGCCCGACTTAATTCTAAGCCTGCCTTCCCCGTACACACAGAGCAGTTCTCAGAAGGCCAGAAGGCTTCTGAGAAGCCCCGTCGCTGTCTGACTGCCTACCAGACCGCCCCAACCCAACCCGAAGACCCGAACATCGGGTTATTGGGGGGGATCGGGCTTCTCATGCTTCTTCCATGTTCCCTGGGCCCCCCCACTGGAAACGGAGGGCAAATCAGGGCCTTCGGGTTGCTGGGCGCCCGAGTTATCAGGGGTAACTCGGGTCCGGGGTAACTCGGGTTTGGATTCCCGAAAAAGGAACCCGAGTTAGCCCTGACCCGAGTTACCCCTGATGATTCGGGGCTCTGGACGCCCGAGTTATCCGGGGTAACTCGGGCCCGGGGTAACTCGGGTTCGGAATCCCGAAAAACGAACCCGAGTTATCCCTGACCCGAGTTACCCCTGATGATTCGGGGCTCTGAGGTTGGGTGGGGGTGATTTGGTGGGCGGTGACTTTCTGAGAGAGCCGTCTCCTCCTCGCTTCCCCCCCTCGCTCGCCGCCCCCACGACAGCGGCGGCGCCCAGCGCTGGCAGCCGGCGTCGCCTTCGCCGTCGTCGTCTGCCGGCGAGGCGGTCGGTCGAGCGGCATGCGGGCCGCGGCGCCGTCGTCGTGGGCGAGTCGGGCGGTCGGGCGGGACGCGTCGTCGTCGTCGTCGTCGTCGTCGTCGTCGTTGGTGAGTCCGTCAGTCGGGCTGGCGCGCGGGACAAGTGGTCGACGTCGTGGGCAAGTCGGTCGGGAGGGAGTCGTCGTCGTCGTCGTCGTCGTCGTCGTCGTCGTGCGGACAGCGATGAAATTTGGATTTGGACTTGGATTCGGGTTCGGTAAGGAGCGTGCCCCTACTATAATCGGCAGTGGACCCAAGGCAACCTGGGCAGAGCGCCGAGGTCAAGGCAAAATGTAGCGAATACACGCTGCGATTACGGATGGGTTGTCAAAAACTTCTGCTACATCACCCCATTATCATGTACCTCAGCCGTGCCACAATGTAACGTCACCGCGCAATGCGCGAGGATAAGGGGGAGGCCAAGGATGAGACGGACGCGGGCAGATGCTCAATCCACCTCCGCTGCCTCCTCCCTCCCCCCTCCGTCACCACTTCTCCCTCAACCGTTCAGGGGGGAAGAAGGGAGGATTGATGGACAATGGAAGAGGAGGAGGACGAGGAGGAGAAGGAGGAGGAGAAGGAGGAGGAGGAGGAGGAGGAAGCGCCCGACTACGAGGGGAGTAACCCAATTCGCGGGAGGAGGAGGAGGAGCAGGAGGAGGAGGAGGAGGACGATGAGGAGGAGGACGAGCAGGAGGAGGCGGCGGCGGCGGAGGGAAAATGAGGAAACTAAGAAAGGAGATAAGAGCAAAAAGGGAAGAGAGAACGGAACAAAAGAAGAGGTGGGGAGGGAGGCAGGCACTATCAGAAGAAGGACGACGGCGACGACGACGAGCAGAAATTGAACTCGGGCCTCTCCTCTCGGCCTCGAGGTCGGACTGGACCTGCAACCTGGTGACCGACGCGTGCAAGCTCTCAAACTGCGCCACGAGACCTCCAACCGTCCGAGCAGCCCCCCGATGCGTTCAGACCGCCCCCAAACGGATGAGGATGAGGATTGATGATGATGATGATGAGGAGGAGGAGGAGGAGGAGGAGGCGGAGGAGGAGGAGGCGAAGGAGGAGGAAGAGGAGAGAAGAGGAGGAGGACAAGGAGGAGGAGGAGGAGGAGGAGGAGGAGGAAGAGGAGGAAAAGGAGGAGAAGAAGGATGATGATGAGGAGGAGGAGCATGTGGAGGAAAAGGACGAGGAGGAGGACTCTTTGGACTCTCTGGTGGCGCACTCTGTGCTGTCGAAGGCTGAGGACGGCGATCCAGCGC